GCGCCGAGTCCGGTGCATGCAAAACAGATGAATGGATGCAAACATACGAGCATAAGGATGCTAATTGAAACGTGCCCTAAAACTAACCATCATAAGCTAGTAAATAAAAGGGAGAAAGACGTGGGGTTGGAAGACACATCACACACACGCACACTTATTACAACATTGCCCTCCTCGGAGGGTCCGAATGAATAATACACAACCAACTAGCTAATCTGAGCTAATTAAACTAATTATTACACAACCCAAATGAATAACGAATTACAGCTAATTATTACACAACACTAGCTAATTAACAAATTTAACTAAGGAAGCAAATAAACTAGCATGCAAGCTACATGAAATGGATTGCCTCAGCTCTGCCTTGAATGATAAAGGATGCATGCATGCCCGAGTCGCCTTGTCGGGAAATCCATCGCGATGCCTCGACTCGCCTTTGTTTGCAATTGATTTCAAAAAGTTGCACGAGGCTCCAGAGAGATGAAACTCCACCCAAGGAAGCTGTGGGAAGGCTACCGACCAGCTATGGGCAAGGGAGACCACCTGCCGACCACCCTTGGTGGTGAAGACCAGAAAAGGTGGTCGGCCTGCCAAAAAACCTAGTTGGCCAACCAATTCATTCTCCTGGTTTTTGCTTTTTCTGCAACAAAGGCAAGAGAGAGAGAAGGCGAGGTATTTTCAACATATGTATGCCCGACCATTCTCCCCATCATTGCATAAGCTCTAGGGAGTGTAGTCCTCGATCCTCGGGCCACCAATCACTCATCCCGATGCATGATGGCCGAGGAGTCAAATTGCACGACTCAATGGGACATGAATGCACATATAAGCAATTAAAACCAACAACTCCATCATGGATGGTCAAGAGTGTCGGCGACCAGAAATCGAGGCACGTTTTATCACTTGGAGTATGAAACGTTTCTCATTTCCCGTGTTTGGACTAACTCCTATTCCAAACACAATGCAACAAGTAGAATGGCATGGCATGTACAAATGCAACTCTAGTAAGCAATCCTAAATGTAATGCGACTAAGTGATGCAAACATGCAAAGGATGACATGCAAGCATGCAACTAGCATACACAATGCTCTGGACTAATCAAGGGCATGCTCAATGCACGTGGATTATATGGCATGCATACACAATGCGCTAACATACGCAATGTTATGAACGAGACATACGCAATGCAATGATCGAACATGCTATAACATGGACTATATGGCATACACAATGCAAGATGGACTTAAACCAAGATGGATGGACCTCAGCCGCACCCAAATCAGTGGCCATACATGATGAAAATGAGGCAACAAAACACATGCAAACATGCAAGATGCAAGGGCCCAAAGCCTAGGGCACAAGATACAACTGTATGAAAGCATGGAAAGGATGAAATATAGCATACAACAACACATGTTCCAGCTCTGAAATGACATACAAAATGGTCCCGAATCACGCAAACAACTCACACAATGCATATTGGGAGGCCCAAATACCGAAACTAGTGAAGCACATTACACTAGAGGTATGCAAAGCGATGCTCAAATGACCAAACCAACCCCAAACAGTCCCTATGCAGGCCCAAAACAGTAGCAAAATGGACTAAGATGATGGTTTGAAAGGTACAAAAATGAAGCTCATGCAATGGTCCATAAATGAGGCATACAAGCACAACTCTCAAACGCATTTAAAGAGTGATAAACATGGGAATATGGCAACCTTATACGCTCTGAAATAACATGCTCAATGATGCTAAGACATGGAAACACCTCAAGTTAAGCAGGCAAGGGCCTCCAAAACTCAAGGCTAGACAAGGATATTACACTACAAGTATGCATGGCAAGCATCATTCGACCAAGAGGCCTCAAAACAGAGCTAAGGCAACCCAAAAGATGAACAAAATTAGTTTGAAGTATGGCCAAAATATGCTAGAATCGATGGCCAAAACAACATGCAATGTAAGCTAGTGAGCATGGTTTACACTACAAGCATGTAAAGCATTCAAGAGGCCACTAAACCAGCCAAAAACAAAGGTATGACATGCCAAATAATGACCAAAAACCCACTGAAACATGACCAATGCATGCAAGAATGACATGCTCCTTTGATAAGCTATGAAGAGAGTTATTCCACACATGCAAGAGGCGAACCCAAGAGGACAACACCAACTCTGGACAAAGCCTAGGCAGGCCCTAAAAGTCACCAAAAGGGGCCTGAACCAAGGCTTGGAAGTGTGAAAACAAAGGCTCCTTTATAAGGCCAAAAATGCTAGTAGACAAGACAAGGAGAGAGAGGGTCACCCCTCTCTGATTTTGGCCCTCAAAACCACATATCAACCACTGAAAATCCGCTGGATTTCAGTGGCTAAAGGGCCAAGCAAAGGTCAACACAAAGGTCCTAAGGCATGACTCAAAACAAGGCAAAATAGAGCATGCAAGGGGGGGTAGATGACCCCCAACAACAAAATGGCCTTAAACAAACATGAAAAACACTTAAAAATGAAGCTTTTCTCAGTTGACAACGAAGCCTAAATATGCATGCAAATAAGGCTAAGAGAAGGATCAAAACAGAGCTTAAAAAGGAAGAAAATCAGTTACCCTTGAAGCTCAACAAAAACCAACAACTTCTGGACCCAAAACACAGCTCCTTAACCTCTGAAAATGGCCTCCAAGAACCTTAGGTTGATGGTGGAAGTGTTAGGCTATGAGGTGGTGTGCAAAGGGCCAAGAATCACACACTTTGGAGCTCAAAATAGTGAGATATAGAGAGGGATATATTCTTGCCTTAAACAAATTTTTTTGGAACCTAGTATAAGGAGAGAGAGGCCCTCTCTTACAGAGGAGCAAAGGTTCAAGCTTCCTCAAGAAGCTAGAGCAAAGGTTCAAACTTTCTCAAGAAGCTAGAACAAGGGTTCAAGCTTCCTCAAGAAGCTAAAGCAAGGGTGCAAATCCTCCATACACATGTATGGAGGATCCAATCTGTGCCTTCCAGCTGGCACCCACTCAAACAGAAAAAACAGGAGGAAAGGGGCCGACCAGAAAAGGTGGTCGGCCGACCATTTCCCCTGGTCAGCCGACCAGGGCAAGTGGTCTCCCACACAAAAATTGGTCGGTGGCTCCATTTGGTGGTCTCCACTTTGAAAGCAAGCTAGTGGTGTGGTGGGAAACCAGCAAATGTGGCCCTAAGACTAAGAAAACCAGCTTCCCGACAAGAAAACCGGCTGGCGGGGAGAAAGTGGTCTCCAAGGAGAAAAGGTGGTCTCCCACCCTTGTACCACCTCCCAAACAAGAAAAACAAGATTCATGCCAAAAATGAACCAACACGGATGCAAAACGAGAGTTCGAGGGGCAAAACGCGCGGCCGGGTGCCCCGAAAACTGGCTGTTGAGCACCAAAAGTGGAATACGGCCACAGAAGTGGTCTCCCGGACCACAGTGTCCCTCTAGACGGAGGAAACAAGGTGTGTCCCAAAAACCGTGCCAAACGAAGAATGTTAAACGGTCTCGAGCAGAGGCGCACGGCCCCAAAAATCGAAAACTAGTCTCCAAACGGGAACAGTAGCCTACGACCACGAAAAGTAGTCTACGACCACTAAGAGATGGTCTACAAGACCTCTCCCTCCCTAGGGAAGAGAAAACAAGACCTGGTCCGCAAACCGAGTCAAAGCACAAAAAAAAGTTTCGAGACCCGGAGGCAAGGCTCTTAGCCGAGAACTTTGAAACTTCAGAACGAGCACAACATGCGCAATCACCGAGCGCTCAATCGATGACGTCTGAGTCTTAAGGTCAGTCAAAAATGGGGTATTTACAAGTAGCGATCAACATAACTCATAACCCAACATGACAGAACCAAGCATGTGGAGGTTGGCAGGCACTTCATAAAGGAAAAACTCACTAGTGGCACCATATGTACTCCATTTGCGAAGACTGAAGATCAACTAGCAGATGTTCTTACCAAATGAATAGGGAGCAAACCATTTCATGACATTCTCAACAAGCTGGGCATGAGAGATGTTTTCGTACTAGCTTGAGAGGGAGTGTTAGAATAAGAAAATTATATTCACATATTTTATTCTGATTTGTTTTTATTCCTTGACTGATGTAATGGGCTATAATGAGCTGGCCAATAATTAGTGCCTTATAGCACTCCTGTAATTATGCTTTATTCTTAATATAAAAGGGAATGAGGTCTCACTCATTCCCTATCTCTTTCTCTTCTCTAAGCTTACACTTTCTCTTCTCTAAACTTACAAGGCAGTCCAACTAAACCACTACTGGAATAGACAATTCAATAGGGCGGATAAACAAAGCAAGTAGGGTGTGGGGAGCACAAAGCATAACCTAATGAATGCTACAATGGCATATGATGTAAGTACCATGCCTCGCATAAGAAAATGTAACTAATATTATGCTTTATTCTTAATATAAAAGGGAATGAGGTCTCACTCATTCCCTATCTCTTTCTCTTCTCTAAGCTTACACTTTCTCTTCTCTAAACTTACAAGGCAGTCCAACTAAACCACTACTGGAATAGACAATTCAATAGGATGGATAAACAAAGCAAGTAGGGTGTGGGGAGCACAAAGCATAACCTAATGAATGCTACAATGGCATATGATGTAAGTACCATGCCTCGCATGAGAAAATGTAACTAATAGTTAATTTAGCAATGTACAGCACACCTTCTTTTTCTTTTTTTTTTGTGTGTGTGTGTGTGTGTGTCTTTTTTGTGATGTGTAATATAATGCACACAATCCTTATAAGCACAATACTCATAAACATATTTCCATGAACATACCTACTCCCCATAAACTAATGAAAATTCCACAATAAAATGAGGGTACAACAATCTTACAACACTAAATACCAATGCATGACGAGATAAGTTTTTACATAATCTATAAGTCTCCTTTAGAAAGGTAAACATCATCATCAAAATAGTCTTCCAACTCATACTAAAGTTAAAAGGACTTGCACATAAATTGAAGACAAAATTTCATACTTGTACTCCGCACGGACAGACAGGTTGTGGTTGGTTTGTAGTTGGTTGGATTTCCTTTTATATGTCAATCTTGATGTATTACCAAGTGAATTGCACTTTGTGGACCAAAGTTCATGTGATTTGAGATGGGATCCACCTACACCAGAATCAGAACAATTAACCATTATAAACACTCATCTACACCTCAAATGAAAGAAAACATAAAGAATGTCTCGTAAGAAAATTTTCTTAAAGTATCAAGAATAATCTAGTTCACAAGTAGACTACTTATGTATAAGTTTTGGGGCTTAGCATATGAGAGGTTTAACTTTCCTTTGCCCTAGAATTACTTTCAATGTAGACAATGTTACTCTTCATTACTAATGAAAGCTATTGGTATTCCTTGTACATGAACAAACCATCTCAGTCCATTTTCTTCTCATTCTATGCATATGCCGCTACCAATTTTTTTTTTTTTGAAAAATGCTTGGACCCTTTTTTTCAGACCCACAACTCCCTTTTGATCTTAACCATGAACGTATGTGTGGGATCCACTCATGTATGTGTAGGCCCACACCATCAATGATTGTGGGAGTCCCCCAAAAAAAGGTCTCAATCATTGTTGGTTTTTTTTTTTTTAGTACAATACATATGCTACACTTGTACCATCTCACGAAATCATTCGCTCCTAATTTACTTTCTTCATTTTACCACGCATCCATCCTGCCATGTTGAATAATAAACAGCAATGCTACGGACCAAGAAATTTTGTTAGCGAAAATTATCTTGAAGCCTTTTCCAGTCGACCTACCGATCAATCCTACACTTTTCTGGTCGTCCGGCGACAGCTTCGAGATATTTCGTGATACACTTATTTAGGGAATAACAAGAAAAGACAAAAACAAAATATAGAGAGAATCAATGCAACGATTTTACATGTATGATCAACTCTCCACAGATGAAGAATAGAGAGTCTCCAAGGAATCGATCTCTAGAAATCGCTGTTTGAAACATAGAGAAAACACTAAAGCAATCACATAGGATGATTACTAGGTGTTATAAGTATGATATAATGCCTTCGTTAAAAGAGAAAAAAAGAAGAACATGGTTCATTTTGGAATTATTATTATTATTATTATTATTATTATACTAATAAATACATGAAGAACATAGAAATCAACAAAGACGCTGCAGCACTGTCGAAAAATTTCCGAATCAAGATTTGAAGAAATTACCTGGGATCGAAACAGAAGCGATGCTGATTGTCGCCATGGGTAAGAGAAGCAAATCCAATACCAGTCTGGGAGAGAGGGAGAGAGAGAGTGGTAAATGAGATTTGGGTGATGGCAAATAATCATATCAGTCCATTGAAACTGTTTATATTTATTTATTTTAAGAAATTACGTTAAATTGTTTAATACAATCTGAATTTATAATTTTTAAGGTACAAATAATTAAAATAAAAGTAATTATATGAAAATTGAAAAAATAATATTTTAAAATTTTAATTTTAGCTATTACTTTCTTTTAAAAAAAAAAAATAGAATACTTGGGTCAAAAGTCTAAAATTAAATTTCTTTTTTTTTCAAAGATCCATGCGTTAAACAACAATGTTTATACGAATAAGCTCTGTAAATTGACCAAACTACCACTCCATATCTTTTGTTCCTCTCACGCGTTGATTTTATCTCACTCTCATATCTCATATTTCTATCTCTATCTTTTTTCATCAATTCTCTCTCTTTCTCTCTCCTCTATTGCGTCTTCATCTTCGATGCCAAGCCACTGCTCATCTGCCGCATCCAGACCTTCATCCGCACTGGCGACCTCCACCATACCTCCATCGTCGCCCATAATTCCATTTTTTTCAACATCCGCACTACTGTCTTTACTGTCTTCTTTAGATCGTCGTTTGAGTCGCCGTGTAACAACCACCTTCTTGATTAATTAAGCTAATTAAATAATTGGTCTTGATTATGTGCTTATATGTTAATTATATGCCATGTGTTATTTGAATTGTGTCATGATGAACAAACGTGTATAGAATTTGAATTTGAATCTGTCTAAATTAGTAAACCATAAGGTTAGACTTAAATATTTGGAATGGGTGATTAGAGCCTGATTCAATGTGGTATGATTAAATTTAGTCTAACTTAAGCTAGAGTATAAGATAAATTATGAGAATTGAGTTAATTAAGTGAAACTAAATTTCCTTAAAGTCAATATAATTAATTGGGCTAAACTTACATCAAACTAGAATTTAGAAAGAATTAGTAAATTAATTACACTCTTTGAACCTACTCAATAATTAAATCTAAAAATAAAAAATAAAAAGATTAAGTGGGTTTGTTGGAGATAGAAACTTGTGAGAGAGGACAAAAGAGAGTTGGTGCTTTGTGTAGAGAATTCTAGAGCTTCAAAGAGGGAAATAAGAGAAGCTCAAGGGAAACATTGAAGTTAGGCTTGATCTTCACAAATTATCAACTTAAGGTAAGCTTTTCACTCAAATTTGTTGAAATTGAAACTTCTACACTCATCATCTTCTAAGATCTAAGTTTACTTAAGATGAATTCATGGTTAATTAGGAGCATTGGTGATGTATTGGAAAGTTTAGAACTTACATGTCTTGATATGGAAGACTCGAAGAAATTAACTCAAGATTAAGACTTGTGTGGCATTATTCATGTTCAAACACTTGTTTCTTGCTTGCTTTGTGGGACTTGAGGAGGAAACCTTCATGGATTTTGAGAAAAAGAACTCCAGTATGCATGAATGATGATTTTATATTTCAATTCTTGAGTTTGATCTTTTAAATGAAAAATTGGGTTTTGTTTTGAAGTCATGGTTTTAGTTTGAAGTTAGAAATTGTTCATTCAATATGAGTTTTGGGCTTTGAATTGCATAAAATTGAAGTTGAGAGTGCAAAGGTTGAGCTTCAAATTTGAAGCAGATTTTCGGACTGTACTCAACCCAGACTGCACATGCAGTCTGAGGCCCCACACGTGCGGCCAGCCTTCCCTTGCCTCACTTTGCATTTTGCTTTGGCTCCGCACGAGCGACCAGATCCACCGTATGAGCGACCAGGGCTACAGCACGTGCAATCTGTAGGGCAATCTCGATTTTGTTTTCTCTCCGTTTTATTTCTGACCTCCGAGCCTCCATTTGCATGGTTTTCATATGTATTTCAAGTTCATCTGCATATCATGAACACGAAAGAAATTAAAGAACGGATAGGAATAACTGAACAATTACGTAATGAAAGAACCGATTGAATGAGTGAAATATGTTTAAAGACGTTGTGCTTGAATGTGGTGTGTAGGACATTTGCACGAGGAGTATCGTCCGATTAAGCACAGTGAGTAACGTCTTTTTAAAGATATTTTTGTAGAAATCATTTTGAAATGGCTATGCTATACGATGTTTTATGAAATCTATGTTTTGTTTACAAAATGTCCAATGTGATAAGTATTTTCTGCAACATTAAGTTATGCTATGGAATTTCGAAATGATTATGATATGATAGGTTTTTGAAAACTTCAATTTGATGAGAATGAATGAGATCCCTTTTTGATCATCAAATGGGACATCCATGAATACATGCTTTGATTCACGGAACTCTCTGTTATGTTTAAGTTGATCCATTGTGGTCGTTATGTATACGTTGACTCGTTGTGGTTGTTATGTCTAAGTCGATCAATTATGGTCATTATGTCTTCGTCGATCCATTACGATCGTTATGTATACATCGATCCGTAGTGGTCGTTATGCTTATGTCCTCGGTCCTTTGTAGTCGTTTTGCTAATATTTTGTTTAGTATTATTGTACCCCAGAATGTAAGTAACTCGGAATGGTTGATGAACTTTATGAATTCTAAATGTGTATACATGATAAATGCTTCGTTTCGACACAAATGTTCTGTATAGAATTTTGTCAAAGGTTTAATAAAGCTTTTGGAAATGTACCACTCTATGTCTTAAACTATGAAAGGGTTAAAGGTTTGAGGAACTTTATTTCTAATTACAAGTATCCAGAAAATACTTTGATCATGTTAAAAACATTGTTTTGATTTTATAAGTTATGGATCTCATTCATTTAACCGCTTTACACTAACATTATTCACAAGGCTCTACTTCATTGTTTCATGTATGTAGGTGATCAAGTGCAAGAGCGGACTTAGTGGTGTCAACCTAAACTCTGTTTTGTCAAGCCAAATACCGTGCCTCACCGTGAGGTTCCAAACTGTCAAGTGTCAAGGCTTTTTGGGTGGTTCAGAGTTCACCCTTTTGAAATTGTAATCAAGTGTAAAGTTTAGTCATAAGACTTTTGTTATGACTGGTTTTATTTTGTTAATGGGATTTGATCCTAAGCTTTACATGGACTTATGTATATATATTTATATACTGCTTTGTTTTATTCCATTTAAGTCTGCGCAGCTTATTGGACCTTATATTTTATTAATTATTGGCTTTTGCAACCCTTATTATTGTATTCCTGTTAAACAGGCCTTTGGTAATCCCAAATTACTGATTGGTCATGATGCTAAATCTATAGGGGCGGGTTTGGGTCGTGACACGCCAGCTTTCGCCGTCCTCTCGATCTCAGATGCTTCAATCGACAATGAATCTTCTACCCTTCCATGAAGGCTCCATCTCCACCAATCTACCTCATCCACTTTCTTTAGCCCCCGGCGTTGTCCTCTCCTTCCTCTGCCACCGCTGCCACCTCTCTCTCTCTCCCCTTTTGTTTTTCACCACTTCTCTCTAAACCTCAGAGACCTTCACCGAAAAACCAATAAAATGACGGGGACGTACTCGAAGAGAGAGTAGGTTTTAGTAAGGGAATGGGATGGTGATGTATCTGTATGTTTGGTTCAAGAAAAAAGAGATGAGAGAGTTTTTTTTCTTTCTTTTTTTTCCTCAAATCCAAATAAGGAAGAAAGGGATGGAGAGAAAGCGATAGAGAGATATCGACCAAAGCAGAAAGCATAACCATTGAGGGACATGAGATGCTTGTTGGCCATGATGATTCCAACAAATTTCTCTCAACAGATTACTCTTTTTTTTTCTTTTTTTTTCTTTCTTGTTGCTTGATCCAAATCTCCTCTCAACATATTACCTTTTGTTTTTTTTGTGCTAGTTGTTGTTGTTGATGATGATGATGATGATGAAACAAATTGCAGATAGCACACATATGTTCAAAATTTGAACAAATAGAGGTTTAGTGTATTTCAATCACAAAGATTTAAATTTCAACAAATAAAAAAATATCAAATGACTTTTCATAGATAAAAAAATAAATAGATAGAAACAAATTAGCTTACGAAATTCAACAAATAAGGAAAAATAAGTTTGAATTTCAATAGATAAAAAAATTAGAACAAAATTTTAACAAATAGGAAAAGATAGGACAGGAATTTTACACATATAGAAATTTCAATGGATAGGAAAAAATAGGACAAGAATTTGAACAGATAGACAAAAAAAAATTGAACAAATAGAAAAAATTTGAATGGATAATTTATTTATTTTTTTTGAACATATAAATATAAATTTGAACAAATGGTCAACGAAAAGTCAATAAAAAAAATTAAGAGTTAAAATTGAAAACAAAATGTCCTTCAAAAGCAACGAAAGATTCTCACCAAACTATTCTCTCACCAACAAAACATATTCACTAAATCCAATGTCTTATAGCTTCCTTAGATTAAATTTATTACCAATTTTCTCAAAAAAAATACACCAAACACTGTTAATCATGCTGCTCAAGTACAATTGTGAAGTTGGCCATCTCTCTCTCTCTCTCTCTCATTTGTTTTTGTTTTAGATGGCTTGGATGATCCGTCTTACTCTGCCAACTGCCAAAGATTGGCTCCAATTCTCTTGGAAAAAGAAAAAAAAAATCATAACATGAACATCGACAATAAATAAACCACAATGCCGAATCTTTTTTAGGGGGGCAAAATTTGTGGCTTTGGTTTTGTTGTTATTCTTATCCTTACAATTATTTGTTTTTAGACAATAATGGTGTTAGTGTTCTTATTCTTTTTCTGTTATTTATTTATTTATTTATTTATGCCCACAACAAAGATTTCCAATCTCAAACATTAAGGTCAATAATGCAAAAAAGTATCACCTACATTACAAGATCAATAACATATGAGAAAATTAACCCTTTGAACTTTCAGTTACAATCATCCAAGTTGTCTAAAATTATATTCGACAAAACAATCAGACATTTGAATCTGATGATTAATAAGTACTTTATTACTTTGAACTTTCTATTAAGGGTTCTGTTTAAGTGTGCAACCCCCTTAAGGTTGCACACCATATGCAACCCAATTGTTAGCCGTTAGATTACAATAATTGATCAA